AGCTACGATATTACGTAGTTCCTTTCTCAGAAATGGCATTGAGCGCAAAAACGGCAATTATTTGTTGAGCAAAATTTTAAGCTCGTCAAAATGTCACGGTTGAGGTGATACCGTATCCGCTAATGTATCCGTAAGTCCAATGTCGTTTTGAAGAGAAACAAAGAAATTGTGCAAAATACCGTATTCCGCGACCACGATGCGCACGTCGTCGACGTACCGTGTGTGTGTGCGCGTTTTGTCACTGACGTGACAGAACGACTGGAAATAATTGCCCGCTTTTTCTTTCGTCGCTCGTTACCGGTTGACGACGATTCAACGCGCCGACGAACCGAAAACGTCACGATACGGGAGGACGATTCCTCGTAACCCGGAATCGAGATTCGCTCCGACACGTAATTACGAAACAACGGACACGGCCAGGCGTAATTGCGAGCGAGATCGTTCCGCGGTCGGCAGGAAACTGTTTGATTTTGCGCGACGATAAAATTGCTATTACGCAGGGGTGATTCGATAATCACATCGGACACAAACTGAGGTTTTCTTTTGTTTACGCGCAAAGTGTCTTCCTCGTTCTATTTTACGATCGTTGCCTTTCGGTTGCGCGCGCTCTGTGATAATCGACAGTCCTTTATGAATGTTCGACAGTTGTTTGTAAATTTTGTTTTTGCATTGAAAAAGAGAAAGACAGAGAGAAAGAGAGAGAGGGAGAGAGAGAGTCGAAAAATATGTGAAGTTTATCAGATCTAAACTAAACAGCAACTAGCACAAAGAAAACGAGTAAAAAATAAAAACCGTGGATCGAAACGTTTGTTAAAAATTTTTCAAAATCTTCGAATTATGAAAAAGAATTGTACATCTGGGTGTTAGCTTGTTATTTCCATTTCCTTATCTCTTTTTTTATTTGAAAAGTAAAATCGTTTCTGCAGTACGTTGCTGCTAAAAAAAAAAAATTAAGTCAAATAGTTTCGGTGCGTTAGACCGTGTGTTTATTCGCAATGCAACGAAATAAATTTAAATTTTTTCCTACAACTCGTGAAGTTTTACGTAACAACTTGCGCAAGCTCTTGTTGCACAAAATTTTTCTAACACATGCACATCGTGCCACTTCGAAGTGCATTACACGTACGATACGCCGACGAGTTTGCGCAACAGTCTTTGTTGTGTGGGCCACTTCGTTTCCTTTCACTCTCTCTCTCAAAACACGAGGGCAAACCCGAAGGGTTCGATGACCTTTGATTTGATTCATCGGAAGCTTGGTTTGTTTCGAGACAATCGAACTTTCACAGAGTATCGATCGATCAAGTTCGCCGTCATTGCGAATGGCTCGATTGTTCCGGTTTGTTTTCTTTTTTTACTACTCGTCGAGTCGTTTGACAAAACTCGTGGGTGGCTTAAAAGTAGGCCGGCGACCCAATTGGGACCAAAATTGATAGACGTCGTCATTAACGTGGCGGCGGAAAATGATGAAAAAAATTGTTACGATCGTTACTTCCGATACATAGTACGTAAAACACGCGTGTTAACATTTTCTATATTTTTTATATCTTATTGATCACTTGATTATAGATAATTAGTAACAAAACAACGGAAAATAAAGGACAAGTGAAGGAGTGTCTGTTCAGGAGTCGTTCGAAAGTCGCTTTGATTTACTCTTGTACGCCATAAATACAATGACTGCTTTAACCTAAATGGGGCAAAAGCGATATATATATGCATACGTTTAGAGGCCTTTCTCTTTCGATCTCTTTCAAGAAACTTCTCATTTTTTTTTTTTTTTTGCTCACGACCTTGCGAACGTCGTAAATTGCAAATCATTGTTACATATACTTTATTCGCTCGTCGCGACGGATTGTAATATTAGCGTCAGTCTGAAACAAAAAATCAAACCTATCTCGCATAATGTCTCACGCGTTTAACACACACACACACACACATTTGATGATTGAGCGTAACGCATTATTTGCGAGATATTATCATCGCCAATGGACACAATCGGATCGTTTATCGGATGAAACCGATCGCGATCGGAACTAATTGAAAATAAACGGTGCTCTTCGGACTTAGATACGAGATACGATCTTTCGATCGTATCGCCGTATCTTGTCCATCTCTTTCTTGTCTCATACAGAGAGAAATTAATTGCTTGAGGAGAAAGGTAATCCTGAATAGAGTGTCCTGCAAAAAAAAAAAGGTCATCCGCTATGACTCGCGGGCTTACTTAGGCGATGATTCATAAAAGAACTCGATCTCCCGAGCGCAACATTTCATAACTCATATTTTCACATTTTTGCTTAAAATATACCTACACGCGAACGCGCATCGAAGATTTACGCGTCATGTGACTACTAAAATCCGGTTAAAAAAAAAGATTTAAAAGAAGATGATTAATAATAGAGAGAGAAAGAGAGAGAGAGAGAGCGTGCTGTAATTAATTTCCAAGTTTCACAATAGCATTTTCGATCTCTTTTTTAATTTATAATTAAGACATCATATCTCTATCTTGAGAACTATGTAATGAGGCTCTCCGGCTTTCGGAGAACTCAACGCCGCTGAAAAAGAAAAGAACGCGTTCTCTTCCTGTTTTTTTTGCACGACCTTTCCTTGCGCTTTTACGATTGTAAAACGGGCGCGCGATTGTTGCGATTGAAATTATTCTGCCGAGATAAACGAGGAAAGTAATCGGTCTGCACAGTTTCACGGACACGGTCATGGCAAACAAACGCTTTCACACAAAATATCGCACCTTGAATTGTGCGGCTTCTCTGACCAGAAGCAGAATGAATAATTCTTATAATTATAATTGCAACGATGAGAATTACGACGGCAAAACTAGTTCTGTACACGTGTGCGATATAAAGAGAAAAACGTAAATGTGTAGTTAAATTAAAAGAGGAATATTTAAAAGACGTGTGTCCGAATATTTAAAAGATAAAATATGTATATTAATGAAACAGAGACAGAACTTGAAATAAATATTCATCAGACTCGATACTTTTTTCAGAATTAATTTTTTTTTAACAATTATATATTTTGATGTTAATTATTTTCGATTTACTCTTATCGATTTGTATATTTTACAATATATATATTGTTATTATATATGTTTATATAAAAAAGACAGAAAGAAAGAGACGCATGATTAATGTAATATTTATTATCGTGTATAGAGCTGTGCGACATGAATTTGGTAAGTAGGTTTTGCAACTTTTATTGCTTTACAATACACGTCATCAGAAACGCATTAGAAATCGATTCTGTGATGTCGCGTACCGAGTAAATGTCGCATTATTGCGCGAGAAGACCTTCCGTGATCGTTGAATTAATCTCACGTCTCTCACGTGCACGTACATATTTAATATTAGTGCGCGCGCGAACGTCGCTTTCACTGATAATATGTCAGAGTAACCTTTCTTGAACGCTTCTTGCGGCAACGCGTCCGTGAAATTTGCACCTACGTCACGCTCGAAATCTCTCTTCTGCTTCAATTTTATTTTCGTTGATCATATAAACTCCGTGGTAATTTTTTTTTTTTTTTTTTTTTCACAAGAAATAACAAAACGCTCTCTCTTATTTAAAACCAGGTTGGTGTAACATCTTCCGCTCATTTCTTTTTTTTTGAAATTATTCCTCGTAAACAAAAAAATGTTTTAAATTATTTAAAATATATAAAATATTACATAAAATATTATAAAATAAATATTATAAAATATTATAAAATATTAATATAAATAAGGTAAGTTGATGTAAATTACGGACCGTATTCTTGAGTTCTAAGCAAAAACCGTGCTTTAAAATATAAATATTGAATAATCAGTAATTTATTAGAGCAAATTAAACTGCTCCCGGGATTACGAGGAAATTACAATAGCGATAATGTGCGATAACGTCCTTCAGAGCGAGACCTCTATTTGTTGCAAACTTATCAATGACACACATGCATTTAGCGTCTTATTAAATAACAGTACGCATTTGCTAAATGTTACAATTCAGACGTCAAGGATGCACGTTTTCTTTTCCGAGACCGCAAGTCTTCTCGGCCGTTCGAAACGAAACGCACAAGACGAAAGAAACACACATATATTACATCTGCATAAATTCTGCTCATTGAGATCCAAGATCTTTAACGTAAATATATTTCAGTGTTGGTTTCTTCGATCGTTGGTTCTCGAACATTTAAGTGAAAATGGATATTTTGGTAGTCAACCGTCGTTCGAAACCTACATTCAAAATTTAAGACATCGTCACTGTGTGTGTGTGTGTGTTTGTGTGATCTCACTTTTACACGGTTAACAGTTGTCCCCGCTTTTGTTAAACAGTACAACTTATAACACACTTAATCACAAGAAGCGATTGTTACATTTACCACTTGTATCTGTGAGCTGAGAGAAATCATCTCTCGACAAAACTCTATTCTAGATCAGAGCCTTTTATACACTTGAATCTGTCACGCGGGACTTGACAACGGCGATTTGATATGATCATCACGCAGAATATATCGGAGTGATTCGCTTGTCCCGTTTTAAGTTTTGATTGCAGTCGAATTCTCAATGAGGTATCAACCGTACGGTAACACTTCTCTGTGACATACATATTAACACCGGCATTTTCTAATTTCCGAGAAACAAATTTGGGTCGTCAACGTGTACGTAAAATGACTCAAATGGCTTGTCGTTGAAAAGATCATTGCACATACGTCACGAGAACGGAACTTTCAAAGATACTTTGTGCAGATAAACGTTCAGCAAGAGACATCTTTAATTATAAACAAAACATTTAACTTGCATAAATAACTTTAGAATAAATTCACGAACAGTGTGTGTCTTTTCTTTTTTTTTTTTTTTTTGTTTCTTCGCGGACAGACAAAAATTATAACGCAAGACAATTTAATAAATTAATTTCTAACAAAATTATATTTAATAAATAATTTTATTAGAAATTTTTTATTAAGAACATATTAATGTTAAATTTGAAAAATACACGAACAGTTCGCGTTTACTTACCGATATAACTGGTCCATTGTATTATCGAAAGAGTCAGAAGAAATTTGCCGATCATCTCACGTCTCTGAACGTTTCCGGAAACGACGTCTTTAGAAGTCCACCATCATTCTGAACGGTGAGAAATCCATCGTTCAACGGTGGATCGCATTAGGAAGAGTCGCGGATACATCAAGCATGCATTCTATCGTTTAGCAGAACTCAACAATAAAGATTCTCGCTTAGGAAAACAAGGAAACGTTTTAACAAAAAATCTATAAATTGTTGTTCCTTTCGATAAAAAAACCACTGTGTTTTTTTATTTTTTTTTTTACACTCTGTGCAAAGAATTAATTCTTTGTTTCTCCTTTCTAATTTATCGACATCGTGAAATCGTCACTGACAGAGAAAATCTTTCGCAAAAAGAAATTTGTGTGAATAATTTTCAGCGACGGAGTCGCGATCGTGCAATTAGAACGATGTAATATAACAAAACCGAGTCGTAAGCGCGAACAGTATCATCATTCTAAAGCGCGCTATGTTTTGCGGTTGTCGAGAAGAGATTGAAACAGAAACGGGAAACGACGCGAGAGGACTAACTACGCGCTCTACGAGTCGTCGACTCGATCGGTCGTCTGCTTTCTCCGCCAGGAAAGAACCTTCAAATTCGCTTCTTATGCAAGTCCGTTCCTATTGTTGACGTTCCGACATATCTGCGAAACGAAGGTGCACTGATCACTCGCGAGGAAGCGACCAACTATCACGTTCTCTCGAATTGTTCTTTCGAATCACCTCCGGAGCGCACCTCCGGATCTTGAAGACCGAGCCACGAGAGTCTCGATCGTTGTTTCGACATCGAACGATTTCCGTGCGACTTTTCTAATATTTTTTTTTCAACGAGATCACACCAGTCTAAGACAACTTGACCGTGTCTGAAATCGATTTCTCGAATCCGCGGCGCGAAATTGGTTTTGCGCGATGCGATTTTTCACGGTGCGATGGTAGCCGATACGCAGGCTTGCAACACGCCGAAACAGAAACGAGGAGAAAGAGATATGCAGAGAGAGCGAGAGAGAGAGAGAAAGCGCGGTGTACGTTAAAGCGCGCGAGGCCTGCAGAAGCACCGCGAGAGTTGGTTGCTGCCTCGTGGCCTACTATAACAGAACTGACTCCCACCGTGGTCTTACGCCGTCTTTTTACCTGTCACGATCAGCGAACGGTGTTTAAATGCCGTGTCTCGCGACGGCCAGTTGGTTGGTTCCTTCACTTCTCGGAGATGGTGGTGTGTTGAAAGAAGAACTTATGTTCGAATAGTAATAAAAAACAAAACAAAAAAAAACAAAAAACAAAAAATCAATCTTTGATGATCCAAAGAAACGCGGCGAACACATTGACAACACAAGCTTAACTTGTCAACTGATTCAATGTTAAATGCTAAGTCTTTATTAATGGGTTTCCATCTGGTGTTAAAACGAATATTACGAATCTATGCAATCCATACTATGTAGGCAGTTATTTGAAACATATGTTGCACGAGATATACGGTACTTGAGAAAAAATTTATTACAGACGTAAGATCTAGAGCTTGAAGAAAACACGACAACAACGTATCTTAAAATATAATTATATATATATATATATATATA